CAGTTTGATGATCTGTATAGGTTAAAGAGTCCCAAAGTCTGTTTCTTAGATCATAAAGTCTATATTTACAGTTCTTTACCTTCACAATAACAGGTGGCCTGTTGATCACTATATCCCTGCTCACCATCAGAACATCTCCGCACTCTGGATCTGAGACCACAACTACTTTCATAATGTTGTGATCACAGAGATGAGGTCCATATTGATTATATGATAGACACAGTGGAATTTTTTTCACTGCAAAAAAAATTTTGATTATTATTCTGATGTTTTGGGGTGACAGCTCCTCCTCTTCCCTCCCCCTAAAATTTTAACTATCACTTACAAGGCACTGGCACTCAAAGTTATCATAGTGTCTTTGAGAACAGACATGATGTCTCCTGGCTTAGGGTGATACATTACTACATCCAACAGTCAGCTTCACACTTTTCAATGGCTATAACTACATCAGTGCATTTAGAAGAAAATTCTTTTTTATTTAATTTTGTGAAACTTTCATTTTACTGTAATTCTTAAAGCAGTAAACCAAACCTAGGTGAATGAAAGCTTGATAAAACAGAATGTAAACATCAGGTATGAAATTTCTTCTTAATAGTGACATGGTTTAAGTAAAGGGATTCTTTTTTCTTCAGGAAAATTATATTAATCATGAAAATAAGTGTTCATGATGTAGAACACCTTTCCACTTCTTATCATATTGTATATCTGGAAATAATCACCTTAGTGGTCAAAAAATGTTTTACACAGGCTAACGTCTTCTAGCTGAGGGAAATAATATGTCTTTCTGATAAACAGCTGTAACTATCTTTGTATTCAATATAGAATTCACGGTGGAAATTTTAGCAGAACCAAGTTTTCAGATGATCACCATGAACTCTAAACCTTGAGAAATTAAGCAAAGGCTACAGATAACTTTTTAGTACACATGCAGTGTTGATACCCTATTTATTTCTGAATGACCTCCCTGAAAGGAGTTCACCTGTCAATATTGAACATTGCGTTTATTTCACTTCCCAGCAGTATTAAGAGATCTCCACTAATCCTGGTCTTAAAAAAAAAAAAAGCATCTGCTGAAAAGTGAACCAAAGTGCATTAGACAAATCCACCTTTCTTACCTTCCCTTGGACCCAAGGTGACATTCACTTTGTCTTTCCAAAACTGATCCATTGGGCAGCCATCATATGTTATTATTTGTGCACACAAATTAAAAGTTAGACTTTTGGGTTCATTACGCAAATTTTCTAGCAGCCAGTGCAGTTGGACATCTTCACCGTACATAGGGCAGTTAGCCATCTTTAGCCTCATATTAACACCAGAGTCACTCAGGAATGGGTTTCGGAGAGATGATAGCTCTCGATCTATATGACTGTTGGAAGCATTACAGTATCCTGGGTAAATTCTTCTGTAAGCCCTGTAATAGGCCTCCTTGCTTTTCAGAGAACCTGTTGAGGAAGATGTAAGATAATTGTAGTCATATCTACTAAAAAACTGAAGATAATTCAATTTCCTCTTCCTCCTTCCTGAAACCTAACCTAGTGGCTTCATGTAAAACACATCCCTCAGATAACAAAACCACAAGACATGCTAGTCTGAATGCATAAGAGCATTAAAAATAAATATTTCAAAAAAGATTCATAATACATATTTCATTTTCATTAGTTAAATTTCAGAATAGAAATTAAAATTTCAAAATGTATAATTAGTGTAAAACACAAAATATAAGAGTTAGAGTCAATAAGAAATACTATCATGTCTCAGAAGGCCAAACACACCATTGACATTAAGATATTCAATTTTCTTTTGTTATTTTTCCAGAAAAATAGAACTCGCATTTTTACAGCTCTAATTTACTCTCCACTCCTCTAGGCAATTTGATAGTTAAACTCCTCCCTACTACAGAAAGATGAAAACCAGTAATCAGTAGCCCAGAAATAACAACAGCAGGATATCCTAGTAATACCAGAATTTAGTAGGTGAGTATATTTCCTAACAGGCCTGGTAAAAGGGGCAACAGGGAAGAAGTTAATCCTGGGTTTAAAAGAATTTAAGGTTTTTAGATAATCTAAAAATCTTCTAATATTTTAACTAGAGACCAAAACTTGCACACAGGAACAGTGATAGTAAATGGAAGTAATAACTAGACTGCTTTGTTTGATTCATCTAAATATGCTTAGAAGGTTAAGAATTAGGTTCCTGTTTGAACTCAAAAACATATTCCTCTTCCTCAGAAAAAGTCAAGTTTAGATTGTTCTACTCATTTTAACAGAGGATAATTACATTTGTTGGTAATTTTATAAGATTAGCATTTCACATTTCCCTTAACCCATGTAATAACTTTTCATCATACCTAGCTCATACTTGTAAGTCCCACTGATATCTTCACACTGGTCACTGCCAACACTCTTAGTGCTCAGATGTTGTCCACATGGCCAAGTGTCGCAGAAAAGCTTTGTTTTTTTGGCATTGCTTTGGGAAAGCCAGCCAATGTAGTTCGAATTTAGCCGAGAAAACAAGTGATGACCATCATAGTCCAAATCTAGCTCCCCTTCTCTGATGCTTCGAACCCATGTCGGACCACTGCAAGCTAAACCTAAGTGAAATGGAAATAAAAATGTTATGATAGGACATAACCTGAGAAACTGAGCAAAATAAGCTTAGGAAAACAATAACAGATACAGGAAAAAATCTTAATTACCTCTGCCTGTTTCCAAGGGTGTTGGATCCAGACACTGCCAATCACCACAGCATTGATTTAGGTCTCTGCGGGTCATCCAAGACTCATTCCAGCAGTGGTATCGCCTGTAGCATGGAGGAATATAACATTAAAGACATCTCTTGAGTTAAGTTCATTGCCTTCCTAAGGAGTAAAATTGTATTAGAGACAATCTTTTCATAAAATGAACAGTATCTGTCTTAATATTGGAAAGGCGTTTGGGGATAGGGGTTGTTTATTTTGTTTTATATTGTTCATCCTGCAAATGTGTTTCAGGAGACTGTAGATCTGACCGTTAGACAATCTTCTTTCAGCCTAAGTTTTTTCAGTTGGCAACATACCAACATGTTACTTTTGGTTAAATACCTCTTTTCTTTCCTAACATTTATTTCCTGATTCTTTAGAGAGAAATCCCATACTGTCTTAGTTGTATTTTTATTGGCTTAACAAAGAATAAGTTTTAAGCCTTTTCTGCTAGAATAGGATCCTTATCCTCTTCATAGCCCATGAATACATCAATTTCAGTTTGATATCATCTTTCTGAAATGTGAAAGACTGCAAAATCCATTAAAACCTCTCAAAGATGAGACTTCGATACAATCAAAATTCTGGTGCAGTGAAAATATGAACATACTGGCAACAGGTGACAACATGAAATTCTGCTATGATGAGTGATGATGTCATACTAATGTGAACATGAATTGAAAGGTTGATAGGAATGAAGCAATCCGTGATCAGGAACATCAGAACGACCACATAGACTGAGTAGACTGCCTCTTGAGTAATTATTATGTTTGTAAAAAGCATTACTAGGAAACTAAGCAGCCTTGCTGCACCAAAGATATAGATACACTAAAAAGGCAGATTTATGCTCTCCTATCATTCTTTTTTTTTCCGTAAAACCTGAGGACCATATTATTTATTTCTTATTTACCATAGCTTGTCTTTACCACACAGGTTTTTTCCAGTACAGTCAAAAAGCTCATTGATTCCAAGGGGATTCTCAGTTGAACATGGAAAACAGAAGTTGGTGACAACACGGCTTGGAATTCCCAAGCACCTCATCACTGTAAGTAAAAAATATTCATGGGTCATTATAGAAATGAATTAATCAAGCAAGCCTTTCACTTATTTTATAAATAATTCTCATATATTCTAATTTTCAATAATTAAACACAAAATATGGGTAGGAGGGCAACATTTGGGGTGCAATGACTCTCTCTTTAAGATTTCTTTTGAGTAGTTGAAACATAACATGGAAAGAACCTAGCAGAAAGGAGTGGATCATTACTCTTCCAAGTTATAAAATCAGATCCTTTGTAGGTTGAGAAACAATGATCCAATCCTGAATTAATAAAACAACACTTAGAAATCTCTACCTAATTTTTTTTGTAAAAGGTGTAGTGTGTATAGATTCATCTATAGAGTATCAATTTAATTTTCTTCAATGCAGAAGCAGGATCAGTAAAGAGTATAACTCTAGCATTCAATTTTTTTGTCTATATAGTTTAATTCACTATTATCTCCACTCTTCCATTAAAAGAGGATGGTAGCTTGCTGCTCCTATGTTTTGGAGGAGATAATACTAGATGTGTTATTCCTGTTCATAACTTGGTATTTCTACTCATCCTCCAAACCTCACTCAAAGCATAAAATTCTGCTTCCACAATGCAGTGCTTGCCCTGTGCTATTTAAAAAACTACAGTATTGAGATCTACACAGTATTAAGGTCAGAGAGAAGGCAGTACTGGTTTTCTTCTTGCTTTTCTTTCCATATAGGAAAGCAATAGGTTGATAAACGCTATGCTAGGTGGCCACATAATATTGTAACAGGGCAAAACATTCAATTTCTTTTGTATCAGAAGATTATAAATAATATGCTTGCAGTACTTTTTAGGGTAAGAGGCTTTTGATCTGGGTTTTCTTTCTTGCCATCAGGATAACTGTGTGAGCACAGATGGAGGTATCATACCTGTGCACATTACTGCAGCAAGAGACCCACAGTAGCCATATCTGACTGGTCTACATCTGCCATTGTACCATTGCTGAAGAATAGGGACACTTCCGTTCCAAGAAAATGGCTTAGTTCCTTTCAGGTAATCATTGTTTTCTGGAATCTTCATGATACTGTTAGTGTTATGGCTACTTATCTAGAAAAAGAAAAGAAACACCTGTCTAAACACCTGACCAAATCTTCACATCTTAAGCATATCGCAACACTATCAGAAATTTACATGATGATTTTTTTTTTCCTGTGAATCTGAGCACAGAAAAATTTTCTTCTGCTACTCACATTGTGTTAGATTACAGTGCAGTTTATTCTTGTGCAATATAATGTGGCGTGACCCATCTATTCAGAGGTCGCACACCATTAGATCTTACCATGTGGTTCACCACCATGCTGACATGCACAGGATCATTGCGCCAACAATGGTCTCGATCAGAGCCACGGTGGTAACTTCCACCCATGTCTAGAACCTTTAAGCAGATATCCAGAATCCCATCTTCAAACTAAGAAAAGAGAAGTTAAGACAAGTATCATGGTATTCTGACATTGATAAAGTCTCTTTCTTTTCAACAGTGTAGTCTTTTTCATGCCTATGCTGCTCTCTCCCTTCTCTTCTCATCAGTTTTTTTTTTTTTTTTTATCCCAACTGCTAACAGTCGTCTTGGTTTTGTCTGTCTGCTTGAAGAAAGATGAAATAAGATCTCTTTAAAAATCAGGGGTTTTTTTCTTATGTTTCATCAATGGGGTCATTTTCCTTCAAAAGCACAATATTTAGCTTCACTTTTCCAAGAACACTCTGTAGTTTCCCCAGCTCTGCTACAGAAAGCTTTCTCCCAATTGTTTGTGCTATTATGAGAGTTTCAGTGATTTCTTTCTGTGCATGCATAGTTTGAACAGGTCCTAAGAGCCTTTTACACTTCATAATATAAGATCAATTTCTGAAAAATACGTATTAAACTGATGTTACTATAACTTCATTTATTTACAAAATAGGATGACTACTTCTGAAGAAATCTTGAAAATGTACCTGTCCAAAGTGCCATGGTCTAGAGGTAATGTGCTTGTGAACCCCTTCATACAGTATCCCATGTTCATTCAGAACATATTCTTGTCTGTGGGCTTGATTGTCCATATATACAGGGTCATCTGGAAAAGAGGCAGAGCTGTCAGTCAGACAATATGTATATCTCCAACATGTCTACATCTTCTTTCTCACCCTATCTTTCCTATATTTCCTATCTTTTTTAAATTTATACTCTTAAACATGTGTAAGGGTCCTGGCTGTCTGCACATTCATGGATAATTAATTTCTACTTGCAGCTTAATATTGCCTTTATCAAGTCTCTCCCAGCTATAGCACACCTGAGTTACGGCAGTTTCAATTTATCTTCACACTACACAGTTTTGAGTCAAACTTTATGTGTTTAAAGTTGTGTGTCCAATTTTAACCCAATCAAAAGTACACAGCATATGAATATTTGCCATGTAATGACTTTGACAAGGGTCCTACAGACTCCATGACTGCAATTAAGACCAGAACCAAATCTACAGAATTACGTTCGTATCTGTACTACATTATTTCATGGTGATATCACTCACTCAAAAGAAAGCCATTCTAAAAGTGAAAAAAAAAAAAATACTATATCACTACTATCACTAAGAAACTAAATTAAAACACTTAGCCACTCTTGATTGCAGAAGGCCACTCTTGTAATTGCAGAAGGAAGAAAAAAGAAATAAAAAGTGAAATCCCTCTCTGTTTCTCAGGCTATTTATGATCACCTACTTACAACTCAAGTAATATGTTTCTCCAACCTTTTTACTCATAATTAACATTTTTCTTAAAACCACGCAAACATCACTAGAGCTCTTACCTGCACACCAGGGGTTAAAAAGGACACAAAAATCTCCAAGACACCGCTGGTATGTGTGACCACAAGATGTGACTTGCATATTGAAAATGTAACGACCAATGCAGGCATTGGAGGGAGGAAACACATTGACATTTATGCATTTTGGTTGATGAGTTTTGTAAGAAGCACTCCAGCAGGTTTGATCTAGACATCTGCCCATTGGGAAGGTGCATTTCATCTCATCTGACTCACAGGATCTGAGGCCTTTTCAGGAAAACAAATACAACTTCAATAAGGCTAAAGAAAGCACATGTAGAAGACAAGTAATTTGCTTAGCAATCATTTGCAATGTAAAGCTCCCAAGGGTGGTTCCCTTTCTCCCTTGCCACTTTCTCAACAGGATGAAAAAGCTACGCATAGTAGAAGCAATGCCCAGGTTAGGGGAAGATGATGAGTGGATAGATCTATTTACACAGATGATGAGTGGATAGATACTATTTATCATTGAAGACTGTGGGAAATGCTACTTACTGGCAAAGGAGTGAGAAAGACTACACAGAGTTTGAGAGTGACTACCTGTTTCCACGGTGAAAACAATCTCGTCCACAGAGTCATCCCAGTCCCGATTTTGTAGGTGAATATAAAAGTTGAAGGCTTGGCCTCTCCTTATTATCTGTCTATCAGTTCCGAAGAGATGGGTATTATGACATTGGCAGTTGGCAGGACAGTTCAGACCAATATCTCCCACCTCAATGACTGCAGAATTGAGAAATGAACATGGGGGAGAAAACAAATAATTGAGATCACATCATTGGCTAAGGTCAAGACTATGTGAAGTGGGGGATAAAGATAAAAGACAGAGATAATCATTTTGACAAATTCATTCAAGAGTTGGTTTAAACTCCAGCAGCACTGAGAAACTGTATAATAAGACCAGACATATATCCGTAAAAGTATCCTTCAAAGTCTCTCTCTTCCTTTGCTCGCAGGTGGAAACTTGCATAATGCTTTGATTTATAAAGCTGCGCTACAAGTTTCACATGTTTTATATGATGTCTTCTTGTTTTACATATAACTGATGCCAAGGGATGATATTGGTATCTCTACTTGAAAAATCGATTTTGTATTGTAATATTCCCTCCAAATTACAGCACATTGTCTACAGATATAATTACTTTTAAACCACAGCAAGCAGTAACATTTTTTCACATGCTATCAGTTGAGAGTTGGTATTTATACAGATGATAAAGCAATAATAAAGCAAACTGAAAAAAGATTTGATAACAAATGTATGGGTTTGAAAGACTAAACGGCACTCACTTCAAGGGAATTATAGAAAAAATGAATATCAACAAATATCAAAAAATATAAATAATGTTAAATATGCATGTGCATGTAAATATAAGTGTCTAGATCTACATTTCTAAAAATGGTAAAAGGTTTGGAGACACTCATTTCATTACCTAAATTAAGACATCTTTAAGAAACTTGGTGGAGAAGGAAATATTCATGAGTTACAACTCTTTTTAAATGCTGACAAACTATCCCAATAGCTATGATTGGCTTGACAATAAGCTAGGATGATACCCTCAGGCATCCTGCCTCGATATCAGTCATTTCACAGGGGTAATTATGCTCCTGCTGCTAGGAGTATGGGTGGCAACACTCATTTTTACTTATTTACATACAACTCATGCTTTTTAACAGTGCTTCACTCTAATTGAAGACAATGGGAGCTGTAAATTCTCAGCAGTTTTGGAAATCAGGTTCATGGAACTACAAAGTCTTGCATATTATTTTAATTCTGAAGGGTCACATTTGGTCCTGCTAAGCCTGCAAACCCACCAAACAGTGCAGTTTCTCTAACTACATTGGCATTAATTTGGGCATAGAAAGATGGTCTGTAGTAGAAAGTAATCTTTGCCATCCAGAACTTAGGGAGAATCCACACAAAAGAAGATTCATAGCTAGAGCCCATGGCACATGGGCACTTCGCACTCAAATCAATGATGTTTCCCAGGATCACATCCTGGAAGTGAATTATTACAGAAATGAACTGGGGGAATGCAGTGGTTTCTTCAAATCAAAATCACTTTTTTTTTCATCTAGGCATTTTAATTTGTTAATGAATAAATGATTCAGCTCTTCAGCAGAGATCAGCAGAGAGAAACACAGACCTAGGCGTCACCCATGTTAAAAACATGCATCACCATCAAAGACAAGCAAAAATAGGGCATGCATGACATCATTATTGTTGCTGATGAAGGCATCATACCTGTTGAACAGGAGAGGGTAACAGAGTGGAATTGAAAATCTTGTATCTTTATGACAGTTGCCAACCATAATGCAAAGTGTCCTGGTAAGAAACGATCAGGACCATTCCTAGCACACGCTAGGAGTTCCTATGGTCAAGAACATTGAAAGAACTTGACACATCTTCACCATCCTCTGAAGGAGTTCATAAACCAAGACAACAGCACTCAGCACTACATCCAGTCAATCCAGCTGAACTGGAACAGCAGGGAGTTGAGATATTACATGTTTCTCAGGGTAGTTCTCTAAAGTCAACCCACAGCGTGGTTATCAGCATCAGTTATCATAGCTGGATCACAAAAGAGCATACAACTGCTTTCTTAAGGAAGTGCACCTCAGAGAAAATACTGAAAGCTAATCAATTTTGTATCTCTCATTGGTTTTCTTTCACTGATAGAAACCCAATCTCCAAAACCAGTCACTGCATTTTCTTTTATCTAAATCCATTCTGCCTTCATTCAAGAGAGACTCCTTCATGCTTCCATTACGAAATAACTGCTTTTACAATAGAATACTGAAAACTAAAACTTTGTACTCAGTGCTAGAAAGAGAATATTTTCTTTCCCATGCTTTTTCTCATTCTCAGAAATGGCTACTTCTTCTCTGTAGCACTCCCCTTCTCTTTTAAAAAAAGTTTCTTTCAAAAGTTACTCTTATCTTTCTGACTAATAAATAAGAAAATCTAAATCACAGAAATAATATCCAGGCTTGAATCCACATAGTGATAAGTACAATTTTTTCTGATGTCCTTACAGCTGACTAGTTTACTACCCCAGCTTTCAGCCCTGACTCAAGTGACAAAGTTTCAAAGCACTCACCTTCCATTTTTCTTCTACTTATACCAGTATCTCAAGCACACTGCTGGTGGAGCTACCTGCTTCTCAGCAAGATGCACTGCAAGGTCTGGTCGATCTCCTCTGTGAACCAACCTCATTTCCTCTCAGTAACATTTATATTCAGAACTAAAAGGCTGTCACGCATATTGCATCAACAAAATGCCAGTTTAGAAAGAGGCACCACCCATGTGTCTACTGATGCTCATAAATGATTCATTTTAGCTTGAAGCATTATTAGGGAGAGTCCTGTGGCTGGAGGGAGAGTTCTTGGTACTTCTCCTATAGCATAGTACTCTTAATATCCCACGACTCTGAGAGTCTCAGAAATATTTTAAGACCACAACTATATGAATTTTAAGACCACACTTTTCAGTGAAAGTCGATATTTTCAGCCATTTACGGTTCCCACAAATCCCGCCACTTACTCTTTCCTTCTGGCTAGACATATTTGATAGCCTATAGGAAAATGATAAAGAACGTTAGACCCAGGGACCTCAGCCGGATTTAGATTGTTTCAAGCTGGCCATCAGTGGACATCTTTATTGCAGCAAGCAGAAATCCCAGTTTTCAGAAAGTCTGTATAGCACTACCTACCCAAGAGTAAGTCAGAGTATAATAAAGAGTTACAAACTTTCCCAGTGTAAGCAGTAAAATAAACAGAAAAAAATACGCTGTTTTTTCAAGCAGAGATTTAAATTTAATCTAAAAATTACAGAATTTATTTATACTTTGTGTGCATTTATGTGAGAGGACATAACCAATTTTTTAGCTAGTTACTTACCCCTTCTTCCTCCCTCAACATTACTGATGTTTTTCCAACAATTTCTGTGAAAAGAAAAAATACATTTTGACACAAAATGTTTTGTTTCATTTAGGTTCCAGACATCTTTTACTAAAGAAAAACAACAACTAAAAGAGTATTCTCTCTGTGCACTAACTCAGTGATGAGGACATAAGCTTGCACATAAGAGAGAGAGGCTCAGATTTCCTTTGCCAAAATCAGAATAGAGATTTGCAACAGTTGTCTCTTATCCTTGGAAGAAACAGCAAGCTTCATACCATAACTTATCTTTTCAATTCCTCCAACAGAAGTTATTCTAATTTGGATAATTTGGTGAGTTTTTAGGAATTTTTGTGCAAATAGAAAAAAAATCATTCATTGATACAGAAGGAATGCAAATAATTGTAATTTAATGATTAGGATAACTGCCTGGATTCTAGTTAGTTCTTTAAGAAATCATAAAAGGAAATAGTTTAACTAATAGTGAAATAACTTGGTTAGCTTAATAGCTTAGCTATTGTGAAATAACTTTTCACAGAAATTAGAGCAGAGAGAAAAACAGCACATTAGCAGTGGTTTTGCAAGAGTGGTTAAAAAAAGTAGTATGACTGATGTATATTAAAGTGAACATAATGTTCAGTGTGTTCACATTTGAAACTTGTAAATATTTGGCTAGACAGTAGTCAGGCATGAAAACATATGTGAATCCTAAATATTTAATTAATTTTTCATAAAAATCACGTATCTGAAAATGAGTATTGCTACACCAAGTTTCTTTTTCTTAGTATTTGACTATTAAAAAACTTCTACGCATTGAAAAATGAAAAATAATACTATTCCAAAAGAAATCTTCTAGTTAAAATATAAAATAATGTAGCCATAAAAACACAATGAACTTCAAATCAACCTGCAAAATAGGATAATAGTGGTCTAACCATCTGAACCCTACTCACAAATGTATGCCCATACTAAAATCCAGACAACTTTGGTATTTAGCATTAATCGTTTACTTGCAAATCTGATCTTGATGGGACTTTTCAGGTAGCAAAGTGACTATCCTAGTCTTATAAAGAGAAAATTAGCAAAGCTGGTCACAGTTTCTGAGAATAAATTAATGAAAATCCCTTCAAATACCTCTAGTTCAACCACCTGCCTAAATATTTTGGTAAATGAAAGCTTCTGACAAATAAAAGAAAACAAATAAGCATCAGTAAGTGACTGCACCTGTGGGTTCAAAAAGACTTAATTAATAGTTTAAAATAATAAAGGCCTGAATCACAAGCTGAACACTTTCTGTATGGATATGAGTCACTGACTTTATAAGTGCTCTTGCTTAGATCCTGGAAGCTGCTTTGGTGCCCATCTGTCTCTGCAGGATCACGGTATAGACCCCTGGCCCCAAAGCACTCTCCTGGGTACCTGTGTTTCTGCCTATCAGTATGTGTGCAACCATCCCATTGCTGTTGCCAGCTCACAGCTAACAGACTGGTTGGTGCTCTCACTCCAGCCTAAGTCCCGAGTGCCTCAAGGAAGAATCTTTAATAAGGTAGAAAATCATAGCATACTAGTTCTCTAGGTTTACTTAGTCTATTCTTATTCCTGTTGGCTTCCAAGCCCTGCTTCAAATGAGCTAGAAGCAAGTAGCCCAGGTAAGGGGGAAACTGCACTAAGAAAAGGCCAGGAATCACAAGGGAAGTGTGAGGCTGAACCCAAGCAGGAAAGAGTCACATGGTTCAGTATAAAGAGTTGCCCATCAGTTTATCACCTATCTAAACGATCAATGTGCCCATCGCTGACCTCTAGGAGAGCTGAGGTTCCTGGATAGA